CTGGCATTTGCACCAACTACTTAAACTGCGAGGACAAAGTTTATGCCCTTCAACACTGTTAGGAATGTCGCTGCAATGTGGCATTGCAGCGACATTCCTAATTTTATTCCGATATTTCATTCGGTTGATTTTCTTATCTTATTTCTTTTGTAAGCCACTTATACTGTTCAACTAACAAAATATTTTCAGTCGGGTTTTTAAATATGCTAATTTAATAGTTTTGAAAAAAATAACTCAATAACTCTAAGAACTCACTCACACAAGATTAAATAGTTTAAGTAATTTACAAATAAAACAATTGAAATACAAACAACAGAACAGTTAAAAGCATAGTATATATATTTTAAGTAGCACAAACTTTAATAACTTTGATTTTGTAGAAGATAAAAAATAAAAATTGACAAACTGTTTTGGTTGCTATGCGCGTTGCTATGAACAGCAATTAAGATAAGATGACAAATTTATTACTTTAAACAGTGTTTTAATGTAAACAATGTATAAAAACCACTTTCCTCTGAAAGGCAGGTAGTTTATCTAATAAATACAATTAAAAAAAAAATCATTTTTTTGCATTTTTTTTACCATGGATCCACCTTAAGTATCGTACATTATGTAACCATAAAGATGATGTTCGTGAGTTTAATGAAAGATGATTTTTTTTCCTTGTAAACCAGTTTAGCAATCTAACCGCTAGATTATTACTTTTTTGAATAAAAGGGCCTTCTAAATCATACATTTCTAAAATATTTTTCTGTTCACTAGCATTCCAATCATCCCAAAAATTCTTTAATATCAGTGAATTTATTGCTGATGCACATAAAAAATGGCCTGGTGTGAAAATACTTTTCCTGATTGCATGTGTCCTACTGTTAAAGGGGCATAGACTGTTTCAAGAGCTTCTCAAACCACTTCCTTCCATCATAATCCAATTGAAACTAGAACCTAACTTCCATCATAATCCAATTGAACCTAACTCATAAGTTGATAGAAACCTCCGAGACGAACAAATATATCTAAGTTTTTTGTCGAGACTATTTCGTATGGTTTTTTGTACAGCTGCTGATTAAATGTTTCGGACGGCATTGTAACATTCACTTTTTTGGAACGATTAATGATGAAGCAAAGTAGTAAATATAGGGCTGTCAAATCAGTAGCGTGTAAATCAATCACAGGTAGTATAGCAGTATTAGATTTTTGTTTTACAATATTATTTGTTGCAAAACTCACGTACCCAGACCAACTTGAGCATGGGTTTTTGAAAAGATAGCCAATATTCCACAGAATATCAAAAATTCGAGCTTAAATTTTTTTCTAAAATTAAATAAAACAATTAGTTTTCAAACTTTGCAGAGGTAAATACTTTTTTAAATTGCAAAATGTATAACAAACTGGTTTACATATTGTTTTTGTTAATAAAGGTATGTTAGGTATATAGTACTGCCTAATCATTATCCCATCATTTGACTTTACATCCAACCACAGTTCCTTTTTTTTCTCTTGGAATTTTATTTCTTTTGAACAAAACGTCTGTGAATTTTCCATTTGCAATTGCAGTTGAACTAGTCCACGGTGCGTATTTTTTCCATCAACAGTAGCAATACCATGATCTGTCTTGTCAGCTACAAATCGAAGAAAGGAATTTCCCTCTCTTGAGATGATTTCGTTGATAGTATCATGCTTTTTACAACATTCTGCTTGTAACGGATAATCTTAAAAAAATTACATAGACATCAGTTTTGTTTGGATTCTGGGAATTCTGATAAAAATAAATAAGGCGCATATTTATTATTATACAAGTAAATACCATACATATCAGCACTTTAATAAAACGAAACTTACCCCGTCATAATTAACACCAAATCTCAATTTTGATAGCAGCATGTTCAGCCATTTAGATGAAAGACGGTTATCGACAGCAACACTTAATCCAAACTGCAACGGCATAAGAGTGCTCTAGAAAATAAAGCTTGTGGTATTGAAACCTGTTTCAAAGGTGCTTGAACAAGTTCATTAAAAAATGTTTCTAATGATTGAGGTACATGGGTTCCTTCAATCTTTAGGATTTCCTCTTTGGAAGGATATGCGTTTGAATTGTGGTCATGATTCTTCATGACATTTTTCAAAAGCTTTGCAGCTGTAAAAATAACACGCTCTCTCTCCTCGTTTAGACTTGTGTTTTTTTCATGATACCATTTTTCATTTAAATATCTCTAACACTGTCCATTAGAATTATATTGCTTTTGCCTTCTCTTTTGACAAAGCGTAAAGACTCACCGTTTATTTTTCATTTGACATCATTTTCGAATGAAATTCTGATAACCTGTACAACACCATGTCTCTTTCTAACAATTCTCATATTAGTTATTGATTTATATATTATAGTATTGAATGATGTCATTTTGTTATTGTAAGTTAGACGTTCAGACGTTGAATATTTTGGCAAAGGTTTCTCGAAACTGGCTCTACATGATATGTGATATCTGCCTTACATAACACATAATATCAGCTGCTAGTAGATCATTCACACTGATTAAACGTGCTTCTATAATTTTAGCAAGTTGGTCTTTTCTATTGCGGCATATTTCGATGTGGAAGAATGTATGGCTGATTTTTTTGTACGTACTTCTTCAAATTTGTTGCGATTTGGATTTTTTCTGTCACAGATACAATCACCGCCTTAATAAAAATACTGTGTTTTGAAATCAATTAGTTCTATTTTGGCTCTAGTAATCCGCTCTGTCTCGATTTTCATTGATCTTTTTCAAGAGCGATTTATTTTAAAATTTATACAGGATAAATAGGTTTAATCTTTGCTTTTGTTCTTTTGCTCAGTTTGAGCTTATCAACTAAAGTATCTAAATTAAGCTTCACAGCATGCTCTATTATAGTAGTCATTATTATTGCTATAATCAGAATACTTCAAACCTACATGATTCAAAGGATCATGTACTCTTACACCTTCTCCGCGTTTAACACATAACGTTGTTATATTTGATATGTCAGTTTCAATTTCACCTTCGATTATTATCCTTTCTTTAAATAAAAAAGCAGTCAACTATACAAAATAGTTTTTTTTATAAATAATTCACTATTTAATTCGCAGCTCTTTCAAACACATTGATAAATATAAGCATTTTAAAAAATTATTTTCCTAATAGCTACAATTTCAAATATAAATTTGTTTTTATAGTAAAATAAATACGTTTTAAAATAAATAAGTTTTCAGAAATATTTAATTCCTTTTGTTTTGTCATTCAATAATATCATGGGAACTGAACCACACTTTTTTTTTTCAATAATGAAGCTATGATATCTAAGAACATTGTCTTATATTTATTTATTTTTTAAATAAAATGAAAAAACATTGACATTTTGACCCGCTATTTTTTTGTACAACTCCAAAAAAGTGACAAGATGCATTATTAGAAAGCTGATAAAATTATCTATCTAATGATATATAACTTGTCTCTGTAAACTTTTTTTTCTAGGTTTCACTATTTTTTGGCCAAATTCTGCAATACTATTATGGCTGGTTTTAAATTAAAAAAATAAATGTTACAGGACATTTATAGCAAATAAAAATTACTGTTATAGTATGCAAATAAAAATTACTGCTATAGCATCAGGTTTCAAATATTTTTATAAAAAGTAACCAGAAGTTTTTTTGGAACAAATATAACTAGCTGAGGAGGTAATAAAACTTTGTTGTTCTTTTATCAGACTTCAAAGGATATTCTATTTAAAAATGAATTGCTAAGGTTTGTTATACATACTATGCTTTTCTTCTAAAATCTACACAGAAAATTTTATAATTATATTAACAGAATGTTTAAAATTTAAAACAGTTCAAACATTCCGTTCTTAAAGATAACATAAATAGTTATAGCTTATTATAAGAATACAACAATACTATTATTAGTAGTACAATATATACATTTTTGCATATATATAGTATAAGAACTATATTCCTACCTATGAAATTTTTTTCAGATCCCTTTAGCATATTTATCTGTACATCCAAAGTCTTTAGCATATAATACTATTGTATAATATATACTATATATATAGTACAAAATATATAATTATATATATTTTTTATAATAAATATTAATTACATATATAATTAATACTATATAATTATATAGTACAAAAACATATATATATATATATATATATATATATATGCTGTTGTATATTTAATCTCTTTAAATATTTAAGATTGTGATTTTATTTCCAAGATTTTGTGCATTTAGTGAAATACTTATTTTAATTGTATCTTTTGAACAAGGCAGACAGCTTGTTTAAATGAAAATGATGACTTCTTCCTATGAAGGCATACTGACGAGTTAGGTGTGTTGCAATATTGATGAGTTGAGAAAACCTTATTTTTCGTAAAAACAACATATTTGTAAGTGAAGTGAAAAGGAATCGTAACTTCACTAAAAGAAATTTTGGTTCAAAAAACGCAGTACCATTTATGCGCACGCGCGAATTTTTACACTGCTGCTGTGTAGCACGAAAGGGTTAACTAGGATGATTACGCGTAGTTTTTGCCATTTCTGAGGAAGACTCTAAGGTCAAACAAAATTGTCCAGATGATGCTAACCAACCCCATCTTCCCCTATGTCATCATAGAAGCAGCAGTTGCTTATGATGGCATACTTGTGTTTGTTTTTTTTTTTTAAATAAAAATAACTAATAAAAAAATAAATGAAAACTCCTAGGGTTATTATTGATTCTACATGTAACAAAGCATGTATCCATATAAAAACTTTAGTTCTTGGTCTACAGGATACTGAATAATGAAGCTTCAAAGTTAAGTATGCCCTCATAGGCGCCTTTCCCCTAAATTTGTTTTTTCTGCCTCACTATACGTCATCACGGTAAAATTTGTCCGGCTTTAATTTTTTGTGCCTATGCCGTATCCAGTAATTATATATCTATGAAAATAAATGACATTTAAAAAACATGTTTGGAGGTTAAGAGTTAAAACAACGTTGTTTCAACGTCAAAGCTGTTTAACATCCGACAGTATACAACATATTCCGTACGTAACATAACAAACACGACACAACCACAAGTTAAAAATCTATAACACATCAATAGTGTAGGATAACTTTATTATTTACAAGCAATTATCTAAATTCATAATTATGAACTTTTAAACAGTTAAAAAGTATAAATCTTTAATATAGAAAATATACCACAGAAAAATCTTTATTATTACTCTTTATTAATCGAGAAAATTTTTTAACAATTAGAAAAATCTCAATCTTGTCGTGAGTTTCTTTAAAAAATTTTGTATTTAAAAAAAAAAAAAAAAAAAAAAAAAAAAAATTTTTGTTGATCTTTCTATTAAAAATATGTTATTAAAAACAGAAAAACAAACAAAACAATAAAGGAAAAAAACGTACGAGAATACAGTTTACAAAGGTACATGACTAAACAAATAAGAAACTGATTCGCCGTTATGAGTTCTTCTAATTGCTTCTGCTAAAATTGGTGAGATGTCAATGATCTAAAAGTAGAATAATAATAAGGGAAAAAGATGATACATTACTTTTCAAAAATAATTTTCTCTTTACAACAAGGTCCTACTTTTATTTTTGGACACTGGATTATTTTATCAGCTTGTGGAATAGTATTTGTGACGACCACAGCTTCCATACCCGATTCCATTAGCCGAGATATAGCTGGACCAGAAAAAATACCATGTGTAAACACACAATGAACTTGTTTTGCACCTGCATCAAGTAACCTAATAAAAGTATAAACTATTTAAAAAAAAAAGAGGAGGGTTTTTGTTAAAGAAATGACAACACAAGCTAAATTTTGTTTTAATAGTGATTATATGAAATATTTAAATGCTACAAAATTTTGGGAAACTTGATGTACATAAGGACTTATAGAATAATATAAATATGTTATGTAATTATAAGACAAACGAAAGAAACGAGCGGATATTAATAACATTTTCTGAAGTATCTAAATATTTTAAGAAGCAAAAGTTAAGAAAGTGGATGTTAGCAATTTTCTTTCAAATTTTTATTTCGGAAAACATTTTAAGTTGTTCAACGAAAAATCATAAAATCAAATAAAGTTCTTTCTATAAAACCAACAAATAAAAAAGATCAATAAAATTAATTAACTACTCGCTCTTCGCTCTCAATTACAATATAAATTTTATGAGGAAAAAAAAAAAAAAACCATTTAACCCTGAATATACAAAAGCAACTGTTTCTTAAATAAATAAACCAATTCAACCTTCGTACACAATAAAAGAAAAATTATCAATCAATTTAGGTAAGGAAAAAGCAAATGGCAGATTAGTAAAATAACTCAAAAACTAAAAAAAACTTATTTTGCAAAACTTAATTTATAGAGAAAAGTATTTAAAAGATCGAAACCCAAAATAAAAATCAAGAAACAACTTTGATGTGTGGTGATTCATTATCAACAGGAATTATAAAAAAAAAAACTCCATAAATCAGGGGAATTTAAAATTTTTAACGGTGCATTTATTGAACATTTGATGATGTAATTTTAAATTAAAATTATTGAATAACACTTTAAAAGAAAATTCTTTCATTCTTTAAAAAATATATATTTTTTATACCAATTCTTTCATTCTTTAATAGATAAAACACAACCATTCTCTCATTGATACAACACCATCATACAACAATATTTATAAAATATGCAATACCTTGTTTTTTATATTGCTGGATGATTAAAATGTTTTGAGCAAATGCTCTTAGGTGTAAAAGAAAAGTCTTAGCTCAACTTTTTTTGGCGCCAAAAATAGTTGAGCAGGGAGAAAGTAAGAGTTTTAAAAAAAAAAAAAAAAATAGAATAAAATGTTGTGGATTTAAATATATTGTCAAAACCCTTCAAATGAGTCTTTCAAAAACAAAAAATTATCTTTTTATTTTTATTTCCCATTTTTAAGCATTAATTTAAACATAAAAAATGAATATATGATTCATAGTATTTTTCAAAATTTTTACTTTTGTGAATACTATTGTAATAGTTATATAAAATTTTCTAGTTTTTTTGTTGCTGAAAAACTTTAAAAGATAAAACCATCACCCCATAGGCTAAGAATCAAGCTAAAGTTGGCAAAACGTCTTACACCAGACAAATCTTTCACAATTACATGAAATGTAAACTAAGTCAACACTAAATTTAAAGAGTTAAAAAAAAAAGTACTAATATATTAAATGTCAATAGATCTAAAAACTAACACTGACAGAAAGTTAAAATCCACACTTAAAACTGCATAATAATGAATAATACTAAAAACAAAACAAAAGATGTAAAAAATTATCTTGTTGTTTCAGAAAATAAACACTAGAAAGTTTGTCACAAAGAAATCCAGAAAAAATTTCAACACTGCGAGATTTCATCGGAGTCAGATTTTGAGTCATTAATGTGAGCCTTTCGAAACTCTTTCGAAACTAGAGCTAAATTATTTTCTAAATAATATTCCATTACGCTTTAATTGCAAGTTTACAACTTTTTCTCTTTACTTTAAATTTAATTTACTCCCAACAAGACTGCAATCAACCACTCTAAAGGTTAGGAGTTACTAGAAAACAAAAGATAGAGTTAAAGAGCAAGGGAGAGAAGGGAGCCATTTATCAATATAGAAATATTGCAATAGTTGTTTGCAGTAAATTTTGTAAATAACAAATAAATAACTGACTTTTGTTGCCACTGCAAGTAAATAACTGACTTTTGTTGCCACTGCAACAATCAGCTACAGAATTAATATCAGATTCATGATTGGCTGGTCTAAGAAATCAAAAAGAGAAAACTTTTTGTCAAGACTAGAGTCAAGAGTTATAAAACTTTAGGAGTAAAGTTGTCAGAACGATCATTAATGTAGATAAGAAACAAAACAGAGCCAAGGATACAGGTTATAGGTACCCCAGAAATGAGGTACCTGGAAACAAAGAAGAGTGTTGACCTTTAAAAAGTAACTTTAATAAAGCGCTTAGAAAAAAATTATTTGATAATCTCAAAAACATTCACAGATACACCTGTGAAGCAAGCTTATAAAGAAGACCAGCATTCATTGAGATATATATGACTTTAGCACAGAAGATGGAGTGATTTGAATGTCTAGCAAGGGGTTAACCTGTTTAACTGGAATGGCAGAAAAAATATGGCCATAAAATTCATGAGTCAAATTAAAAGAAAAGTTCTTTGAATATAGTTCAGTCTTGTCCTTGGGAGAGGTAATAAGATCAGTCCAATGAATTAGAGAAGTTATAATTACCTTTGTTAATGATACTGTTAAAGATTTTACAAAAATTCTCTAGAGCTTAACTTCTGAGATAAGATACAAAATTTTGTAAACTGAGAATAATGGAGCTTAGCATCAGACAACACCCTTTTTGAATTGATTCCTTTCAAAAAATAAATTGGTATTTGTTCTGGACTTTAGTGCCAATCGGGTCAGTGGTGTTAGAGCAAAGATAATTAGTACAATGAGTATCAAAGTCACTAAAAACCACAATATTAGAGGTAAAGATAAAGGACATCATCAATTTGATCAGAAATTACATCTATAAGAGTGCAGTCTTAAGAAATAGAATGATAAAGAACAAAGAGAAAGATGAATGCGTAAAAAGGTGCTAAGCGGAAGCACATTAACGAAACATCAAAGGATTCAAACCTGATTTCACTAGAATTAGGCGAATTGATACCCCAAATCCAAGCATGTGACTATTGGAGTCTTTAAAAATCAAAGGACAGTACCCATCAAAAACTGAGATCTGAAAAAAAAAAACAGCTGAATTTAAATTAGCCTCACAAAGAGCAAACAAATCTAGTGAATTTTGCAAGAGGTAAGATGGTAAGTTACTTCAAAGACCACAAATATTTTGAGAAAGATATATTGAAACAATTAGATGGTTAGGTTGGTTTTTTATATTATGTTTAATATTTTTGGTTACAATTTTTATAAAAGGTTCTTTTTTCCGTTTTTATTTTAATTATTTTGTAAACAATTTAAATAAATGTTTTTTCTATTGCTTTTTGTTTATTATTATTATTATTAAGAACTTAAGAAAAAGCTTTGTTTTATCATTTTTATTTTTAAAAAGTTAACATATTAGTTATTATTTTTAACTATTTAATTTAAAAATCTAATTATTTAGGATTAAGCTAAATTATAAAAAAAAGTAATAAAATTAAAAAAAAAAACAAAACAAATTCATTATATCAAACAATAGAACATTAAAACAAACGATTTAATTAATTAAATTTTTTGTAAACCATTTTTGTTTTTTAAATCTGTTCAGAGTTGAAAATGTTTTTTCAGTTTCATTTCCATTACTTTATTTAGAATTTAAAGAAAATGTTATTTTTTCTGTTATTATTTAATTATTTTATTTATAACTTAAATGGTCCAGTAGAATTTCGATACGACCAGGAATAAAATACTTTAAAACTTTGTACAAGTGAACATAAATGTATGATTATTCACCAAAAATAAAGCCCCATCATTTGGAGCACCTAAACTTTTAGACCTAATTAAAAAAGGGTAATACTTTTTATGATCAAAATTTTTCTTATCATCAAATATTCTTTTCATGTATCATTGGAAAGATAATTTAATACTGATTCATATTTGTATAAGAACTATGGATTAAACACAAATTGTTTGGAGAATATGATTAAATATGTAACCAATTTTAAAAGAACAGAAACTAATAAGATTCTTCAAAATTTATTGTTTTCTTCTTAGTATGTACTATTTATATCAAAACATGTTACTATATACAATCTAAATTTTATTATATTTGTCAAAACAAATCAAATAAATTCTGAAACAAGTTGTTTAACATTTCAAGGATATTTACAATAGTTCAAGTACTAATATAAAGCAAATACCTAATACAATATATCAATATAGACATTTAGAAATAAATTAATAGTAATAATAATAATATATTAATAGTGTAAATACTACTAACAATTAAAACAACAATAAACATTAAATCAATATATATATATATATATATATATATATATATATATATATATATATATATATATATATATATATATATATGTATATATATATATATATAGCAATAATAAGTAATAATGATAGTAAAATAGAAAATAAAATAAAAATAATAAAAAAGTTAATACTACAATCATCTGAAAACAAAATAATAATGATAAGAATAATAATCATAATATAAAATTCAAAAAGAATAAACATAATAAAAAATCTTTAATAACGAAGATAATATTACCAATAAAAATAAGATAAATAGAAATGAAAGAAAATAAATTGATGGCCACGATAAATAAAGATTCAAGAAAATCCTCGTCAATAACAATAATCTAATTTATAAAAATTTATATTTAAAACAATGCTCAAAAATTGAAAAAACTAATCAAATAAATCTTGAAATAAGTTTCTATTGTCATCTGCTTTGTCAAAATACTTCGTCGATACCGACGGGACATAGGAGTTTTGACAGATAAACTTTAATTTATAATCTATAGTTATATCTGTTGATCATTAAAATGTTAGCGTTCAATCTTGTCTATTATTTTTACAACCAATGGAAAAACAGATTCATTCAACGAAGTTATTTTTTTATCTCAATCCATTTTAGATTTTTAGGCATTTGATGCGTTTAAATGTTGGTGAAGTGTTGTGGTTTGTAATCAAAATTTACAGCCTTGTTAAAATTTTTTAGGAGTTTATATTTATTATAATTTTTGGACTATCTA